AACTTCAAAAAATATAGGCTTTGGCCTTGTTTGGTTTTGGTTATTGACGGATCCGCTGTTTTCAGCATTTTGATCATGTCTTTGGAACAGCAGATTTGCTCCAAACCGCCAAAATTTAAAAAGCTACTATATACAGCATTTTAGAATGGCATTTTGGACTTTTGCCCAAAACACCCTTAATTCTATATATATTTTTTTAACTTTTTTGTTTAATAATTTTAACAGAAGCCTCAGGCTTCTAAATAAAGAAGCCATAAAGAAGCCTGAGGATTCTTTGCTAGAATGAATAATGGGCGTTCAACGCCTCCATTTCTCCCACATTTCGATGTGGGATCAAAGATCCCACATCAATTTTAGTTTTTTTTTTTTTTTTTTTTTTTTATATATATATATATATATATATAATTTATTATTATTATTATTATTATTATTATTATTATTATTATTATTATTACATTAATTTGTTTATTATTATTATTATTATTATTATTATTATTACCCTTTTGGTCATTTTACATGTTAACCGCTAATCTAAACAACTAATTTTACTAAACGTTTTTTTACAAATTGTTAGTACAATTCGATGGTCAAACTCGCTATTTGATAACCGCTAATACAATCCGCTAACCGCGGATAACCAAACAAGCCCTTTTTTTGGTAAAAAATTGGCCTATTGGCCAATTTTTGCTTATTTGACCATTATTAATTGTTTGATTTAGTTAAAATATCAGTATAAATATTTGGTTAATTAGCTTTTTGCAACTCTAAAAGACTAAAATTCAAAAAGTTACTCCAAGCAACTTTTTCAATTAGCTTTTAATTTTGAGAAAAGAAATAATACCAAACAGCTATCAACTAACAGCTAATTTACCAAACACTTTCTACAATCTAATAATGTTATCAATTATTTATACCCTCTAATTAACACAATCGGCTAACATCTAACAGCTATCATATAACAGTCATTTTACCAAACGTGGCATAATATTATAATATAGGCAACCCCATGGGACAAATCTATAATTCGAGAATATATATATATATATATATATATATATATATATATATATATATATATATATATTTAATTTTGCACTAATAGATGCTATACTTTAAACTTGTTTTGTCTTTTTGGGGTGGCAAATTGCGAGGTTGGAGATATGATGACTAGGATTAACGTCTACTATAAATAGATCTTTCATCGGTGAGGTCTGCTCGAACTGTACTGCTGAGTAGAAGCGCCGAGTGCGGAGTGCTGACAGTCATGAGCACTGGTCGGAGAATGCAACTATGGACACCAGATCTCCATTTACGTTTTATGAAGGCCGTTATTGATTTAGGCGGAATTAAAAGTAAAGGTAAGCTTTTCTCTGATTGTTTTTTTTTTTTTTTTTTTTTGGGAAGATTTCTCTGATTGTTATGGTGTACTATACTTTCATTAGAAGAATAATTACAACATTTATTTCTTGTAGATACCAGGCCGACCAATATTCTGAGAGCTATGGATGTTACAGGATTAACAAGGGTCCAAGTTGCTTCACATTTGCAGGTATCAGATAAAAATTAGATTATTATGTTGCAGATCATTAAAAAAAAAAACAATGCATGACGTTTACTAGCTAATTGATTATGAATTTTAAGGTAAGATTGTAAGTCAGTCCGTGAACTTTGGGCCACTTTGTATTCCTATACTCCTATTTAATACTATTACAAATTACAATATAATTTCATTGCCTGATTATATTGCAGAAAGTTCGAGCTTTTATCCGCAGGGGAGGACATATAAGGAAGAGCATACTTGCCAAAAATCAGCAACACTTTATCCAAAGCCAATCAGACCCTCCTGCTGCATTCTCCAATACCAATAGAGAGGGACATCTTGCCGGCGTTACCGAAACTGAAGGCGTCGCCGGCGAGAATGAATATTCATCGTACCCTTATCCAGCACAAGGCGGGGATGAAGACAATGAACTTTTTATGGGTATTACCCCATTCAGGAACCGCTGCTTCGGCAACAGCACTACTGAACTAGAGAATTATACGATGCTGCCGCTCAATGAGTACGGCACTAATCAAGAAGCTGTTGTTCTGACGCCAACACCTCCTGCTGCATTATCCAGTAGCCACCATAACAGAGAGGGTGAAAACCTGCAGGCTGGCTTCTACGACTTTGTTCCAGACTCTTATCCAGCACAAGGCGGAGAAGTAGAGAATTATCTGATGCAGCTGTACGCCACTGATCAAAAAATTACTTACCTGACGCAGTTTAAACCGCCAACACCTCTGCTCTCCCCAGGCGCCTAGAGATTTTTTCAACATTGGTTAAAAGTTTATGTGTATTGTGTTATGAGTTTATGTGTATTCAGTTATGAATTTATGTGTATTCAGTTAAGAATTTATGTGCATTCAGTTAAGAGTTTATGTATATTATGTTAAAAGTTTATGTGTATTCTTTTAAGAGTTTATGTGTGTTTATGTTATGAGTTTATGTGTATTATGTTATAGTTTATGTGTACTATGTTAAGAGTTTATGTGTATTATGTATTATGCTATATTATTATGTTATGAGTTTATGTGTATTCTGTTATGAGTTTATGTGCATTCGAAACAAGGGATTTTTTTTAACAACTTAAAAAAACGACGTCGTTTTGGAAGGTGCGGGGCGCACAGTGCTATGTGCGCCCTGATGCACGGTATAACGATTGTAGATTCTGGGCTCATATATATGTATGTATATGTATATATATATATAACTAGTATTTTCTATGCGCGATACGCAAAAATATATGCCCAATATTTATATATATTTTTAAATAACTAACAAATTCTTACTAATTAAAATTATATGAAATCAAATTTATTTATCATAATAATTCAACATATAATGTCTACAAATATTATTATCATTAAATAATATAAGAAAATATATGATGGATGCATGTGCATGGTAATAATAATGGAAAAGATAACGGAGATTATAACAATATGGGTATTTTTGTCCAAAAAATTATATAGTACAAATCTAAAAGCACAATGTACAAAATGATTAGCATTAAAAACATGGACATAAATGAGGGATATAACTTTGATTGGGACTTATTATGTTTATTTATTATATATATATATATATATATATATATATATATATATAGAGAGAGAGAGAGAGAGAGGGGATCGAGGCTTGAGATTTGATTCACTCTTAATTTATATGTTATAATAGAATAATATATAAATTAAGGTTCATTTACATAAATGATTTATTAGCATTAATTTCTACAAATATATTAAAATGTATTAAAAATTAAAATACAATATAAAATTTAATATAAACTTTGGTCAAATAATTAACCCGGCTAAATACATTCAAAGTTGTATTAAAGATTATAAATCAGGAATCTTTTGAAAATCATTTTCTTGCATTGTTTTAAAAAACAAATTTAGGTTAAGTTTTTTTTTTTTCATTTAATTAATCTTCGTTTGATTATTCAGAACAAGACTCAATATTTCAATTATGCTTTTGTATTTTTGAAATGATTTAGGTCATTATGGTATTAATATTTTTTGTGTGTATTTCTATAATGATACAATTGTACATTACTTTACATATATTTTATTATCATGATAATCTACGACACACATCTCACAACACATGAAACATGTAGGAAAAAAAACTACCACCGTCAAATATCAACAGGCATTTGCAAGATAAAGAGTTCATAGTACAATTAATATCCAGCCATATACACAACAAGACTAAACTTCCTACACCATAATCTCATTGCATGACATGCACTTTATGCTGCCACTAGTAACCTAATTGCATATGACATACTACATACTAATAAAAAAGAAGAGGACAAACACTGAAGATGAAGACAGTCACAATGCTACCGAAAAGAAAATTAAGTAAACTTAGATAAATTTAAACAAAAAGTTCTACTTATTTAAACTAAGTATTTAGACCAGCGTTATTACAAAGTTGCAAACATTTATTTTAGTGACAATTATAATTAATCTCTCATATATTATCTTGCAGTTATATACTTTGAATTACTAAAATAAATAAACAAATTCAACATTCAATTACCTATGCTGGGTGAGCAAACGGTAGGTCGGTTACATAACCGACCGAAAACCCGAAAAACCGACTGTGATTTTCGACTGTTATAACTTACCAAAAGTAATACTATAACCGACCAAAAAACCGAAATTTCACAAACTATTCAACAATTAATACTTATTATTTAAAGTCTTCAAAAATCAAATACCAAATATCCTAATCAAATACAAATTGCTAATGTCAAAAAAATTCACACATGTTACTTGGCAGAATGATTTTTTTTTCTTTGCAAATCAACTATTAAGTTTAAAAATTAAAACTGCCTAATCAAATGCAAACTGCCAGAATGTATGTTTTTATAAATTATAAGTTTAAAATTTGAGTTTTTGATAAAGTTCTAGAATGTGTAAAATTTTTCTAATATACACAGCATCCGTTGAATTTACTGTGGCATACACAACATCCATCTTTTTTGTTTAGTAGCTTCTTCAGTTTCCTCAAATGAACAACACCTGAGAGTGAAGAGGCGAGGAGGATTTGACGATAACTATGAAATACTGAAATTCCCACAAATTGAGAGAGAAGAGAGTACGCAGCGAACATCAATACGCAGCACACTTAAAGTCTTACCCTGACAGAATGATTGGGCTTTTAATTTTTATATGTATGTATAAAAATTAAAAGCCCAACCATCCTGTCTTACCAGTCTCACCCTGGCAGAATCGACTTTTTTCGGTCGGTTCGGTTATCGGTTATAATATTTTGCTCACCCCTACCTATGCATGAGCAATTCCTATATAATCTTGTATTGATATACTTTGCAGTACTTATTTAAAAATAATCATTAAGCATTATAACATTCGCGCAATGCGTGTGAAAAAACTAGTTTTATAATAATGATGAAATTTCCTTTCCATATAATTATGGAATATCTAGTATCCATACCAGAACAGTTGACAATGTAATCATCATGCTTGTATCATTCAATAACACATAAAGATATAGTCGGCGAGATTTACCCAGTGCACATCCTTGGAAAATCACATATCCTCAGGCAATGGTTGCAGTCTGCGAGTTTCCCTCGTCACTCAAAAAAAAAAAAAACATAGTCTACAAGTATACAAAAGAATCTGTGATCTAAAGACACTTTTGACAAGAACTGAATGAAAAGGGTTCTATAATTGCAGAGTGAACTTGGCTGAGGCAAACACCAATTTTCTCAGCCTGTTCATCAGCTCCAAACTAATTGCCCTTTATTTTCATCTGCAACACAAACAACTTGACCACTTCTGCAAAAACAATGGATTTTCGGGGAGGAATGATTCCAGACCCCAGACAGACTTTTCACGGGCAAGACTCGAGCAGATGTGTTCTCGACTCTTCCTTGGATCTTCCACTGTAACGGAAGTACAAAACCAATTGTACAACCCCAAGAACCGCTCCAATCCCGTTCGGGACCTGATTATACACCCAAAATACGTATCTATTAGAAAACAGAAAAGCACACGACGGGGTTCAAGACATTCGTTAGAGTGGAAATATATGTGCAGAAAGGATTGTACTACTTACAGAGATGAAAAGATCGTGCTGGAAAAGTCCATATACAAAGAAAGAAACACTCATCAAAAAGGTAGCAAGCGAGAGGTAAAATGGCATGTACTCTACACTTTTCGTTTTGATCACCAAATTCTGCAAAAAAAGTTCGACAAAAATTAGCTCTTAAGAAAGGGCACCATCTTATAACAAAACAAGGGTATAGTGTTCTGGGCTAACTTACTATGATGAATAGTGGAGAAGCGAACATGGAGATGAGAGAAAGGACAGACAAATATCCCACGAAAAGCTGTCGATTTGGAGGCTCAAATACACAGATGCTGACAGAAGCTATAATCGCAAACACAGCAAAAACGCCTAGCAACCACCCCAACATTTTTAACTGCAAGAAATGTTCGGTGTTACAATACCTTAAGGATGTTCGATCAGAAATAAGAAGCAACACAAACCTTTTTTGTTCGCTCTGCATATACGATGAAGATAGTGACATATACTAACTGGAAAACGGCTCCAACAGAATTGACGGTGAAAACCAATATGATACCAGGAGAAACAATTGGTGTCCCGTACCAAAGGCATATTAAACAATTCAAGAGAGCATAGATATATGGTAATCCCGAGAACTGTTCTGTTGACTGGCTTCTGATTATTCTCTTGAACGTTGGTCTGAAAGAGGACAGACACGGTGTCAATTCAAGCACACGCAAACACACATTCCATTTAAGGTTAGAGTACTTACATGGGCGATACGAACAACACAAACGCAAGTATATTCCCTGCATTTGACAAAGGCAAAATACATAAGTCCTCTTCTAAGGGGATGCAAAATAATCACCGAGCTACAATCTACTCCACCTTTTAATTTTTCGTGTGTGTTTTGACGATTAGGGGGAACAAGACCTAGCAAATTCCCTTCAAGATTTTTAAGGGAGGAAAAGCCTGGTGGAAAGATTATTTCCGTTTTTAATCCATTTTTAACTAAAAGATTCTTGATGAAATGTTTGCATTACTGCAAGTTTGCCAAAGCTCCTTGCTTGGTGGTATTTCTTTTTCTCTTTATGGAATCCTAAAAGCCAAAAAGAACCCAAATCTAGCTCATTATGTGTTTATGTGTCAAAGAGCATTATTGTTTATTTTAAGGCAAAATCACCATAGAGATTAACCCTTTTTACAATTGGGCACACTGCACTGTATCAAAGCCACAAAATACTCCTTAACATCAACCCTTTTTCTTTTTCCAGTTTCTCAAAAGGACCTTTCCAGTTTCCACCATAGCTCACAGGACATTTAATTATACTAAAAGCTTCAAACTTTGTAGCAAAAAAGTCTCTAATCCCCAGAAAAGGGACTTCATAAATCATAATCAAGTGGCAGCAGAAAAAAAAAACAAATTATAGAATTGGTCTTAAATATAATATTCCTCCCCAAGGCATATTCTTTAGGGATTAGAGAATTTTCCTAGTTTTTCCAACATTACCAAACAAACATTGCTTTTCTTCTTCCTTTTTTTTCCCCAAACCCCAACTAAGCCCACCAAAAGAATCCAATCCACTAACAAATTCTGCATTTAAGAAAGAACCCCACCCTAAAAACATGAAATCCCAGATATGCAAATTCGATTATGCTTCCAACAATGCTTCACTACAGAAAATTACCATGGGGTTACCTGCAACTCCGGCTGCAAAACTGCAAACTGAATAAGTAGAAGACAGAGCTCCTGGAGACATGATGCTCATCCCAGAATCAAATCTATGAATTTTCAAGGGCAGCGGCCGTGGGTTTTATGTAAAGTCTCACTTTCTTCCACCCCTCTCTCTCTCTCTCTCTCTCGAAATGAAAATCTGAGTAAGAAATCTTGCAAAGGTGAGACCTTTCCAGGTTGTATGAATTATGAATATGAACTACTAATTTGGAGTCATGATGGGCTGATGGGTGTATAAAAAAAGCGTACACCTTCACGGTGGGGCCAATCTTGTCCGTGTCCTCAAAGGATGTTTGTTGATGTGTTCACCACGTGCCGCTTATTATTTCATTTTATGTCATGGAAAATGCTGTTAATTATTGATTAAATTTTTATAAAGTTAATGTCATTTTATCACGTTTGATCCTCCGAGTATAGTAATTTTATCACGTTTGATCCTAAACTTTCAAATTAATCATCTGTAGTTCTTCGACTTTTAAATTTTTATCATCTATGGTCCAAGTTAATCACCTATGATCCTTCAACTATCAAATTTTAACCACCCATTGTCCTTCTATGAGGATCGTGATCAGTTAAATTTTGAAAGTTGAAGGACTATAGGTGGTCAATTTAAACCACGAATGGTAATAATTTGAAAATCGAAGGACCACGAGTGATTAATTTAAAAGATTAGGACTAAACGTGACAAAACAACTATACTCGAAGGATCTCATATATTAACTTTTTTTTTATTAAAAAAAAGAAGTATTTTTTAAATTAAGGAAACAACTTCAGAACGTTCCACTGAGGCTCAAAATCACAACCTTCCAAATGAAAATCCAACCTAGGTACCATTAAACCACATATAGTCTTGGTCAAAATATTTTATATAATTTCTATAAATTTGTGAAAGAATACTGTTGTTAAATATTTTTTCTTTAAATATTAGTTATTTATTAGATTCTTCTTAGAAACAGATATTTTGGAAGAAAATTTCTAAATTAGGGAAATGGCTATTCGTAACCAATTAATTCGTAGCCATTTATGGGCACTGATAAACATGAAAATTAATAATTTATTTACTTATTATTGAGAAATTTTACAACCTTTATGGTTAAAAAAAATAAAAATGCTACTACAAATCGTAATATATATACTAAATTAATTGCATAACGTAAAAAAGAAAAAGTGTAAAGTGACTTTTACTGCTTTCTATTTCTAACAACCAACCATTTTACAAACAATATTGTAAAATCTTTAATTATAGATTTCACATGTAATATATTAATAATACTTTATATGATTTATACAATAAAATTGGATAAAGTAATTCTAAAAATTACACAAATTTTACAATCTCAAATAATAATTATGCAGATTACGATAAATACAAAGAGCCAATGATTTTTATAAATAGTAAAAATAAAAATATTATTATTATTATTTTTATAAATAGTAAAAATAAAAATATTATGGCCGCGTGACAAAATTAGCTGTAATTAATGATTGAGCATTGGAAATCATACTGTACGAGATAATGACAATTCAAATCTTTGGGTTTCATCGTGAATCATGATTGATTCATGTGACAGCTTAATAAGTTTGACCTAGTCAACATGGTATATCCAAAACATATACGTAGTGCGTATACAATAAATACTCACATAATATTCCCACCTTTTTTTTTTTTAATGCTATTAGTTCTATTACAATGTAGTAGATGTTCATATAATTTCTCAACCTACTGAAACACAAAGAACCAATAACGCCTCCATTTGAGACTCAAACTCACAACCTTCCAAATGGAAGTCCAACCCGGGTACCATTAGACCATATAGTCTTGATACATAATATTCCCACCTAATTTCCTCTAAATTGTTAATTAATTAAGTTATTATCATTTCCATTTTCGAGCAATCGTATCATATTTTGTATGATTTGCAATACAATAAAGGGCATTATAAGCCAAACACCTTGTGTTTAGATGACATGTAGTGATCTCTCTCATGTGGGAAGTCATGAGATCGAGTCTTAGTGGACGCGTTGTTGACTCTTTGTGCTTCATTAGGTTGAGAAAGTATGTTTCAACAGATATTACTTTGTAATAGAAGATATGATATTATCGGTGTTTTCAGTAAAATTGACTTGGTAAATAGATAGAGGACATAGTGTTGAGGATGACTAAAAATTATAGTTTAATTTGGTGTTTTCGGTAAAATTGACTTGGTAAATAGATAGAGGACATGATAAAGAACATAGTGTTGAGGATGACTAAAAATTGTAGTTTAATTTGGTATTTTCGGTAAAATTGATTTGGTAAATAGTCACGTGTCGTGACAAGTTAATTGACAAGTGATGCGGAGTAAGTACGTATATGCATGGGGGCAATTTCTTCGTCGTAAAAATATATATACGAGACGATTAATTTTTATCCTCCATAAATATTACATATATTTTACATTAAAAATATTTTATTTTTTATCATAAATAACAATCAATATTATATTTCTATCTAAATCCGACTTATTTCACAAAAAAAGAATTTGTTAGACGGGTTCAACATTAGACTCAACTAATATTCTAACATCATATCCTTGTTAAATTATAGAAGACGATTACAAGTTGGGCACGTTTTAATGGATAACTAGCTAGACTCAATATATATCTTCGATCTTTCATTTTCTCAAGTACGTAAGTGATTCCAACATCATTTTACGGGTAGGTCAAAGGTGGTTTGTTTTTTCTTCTTTGGAAGAGTATAATATATATTATTAAACTTTAATTTCACAAGTTATTGTTAATATAATAATATAAGCACACAATTGAAAAGAAAAACTTAGTATGATATTGATGATATGTATGGTACACTACTTACGTATCCAATACTCATTAAATAAGATGATGCAAAGAATCATTCAACTTTTACAGCATGTTTGTTTCACGAAATGAATTTTAAGGGAATAAAAATGTTATTTCATAAAAAATGAAATAAGTAATGAGTAGAATACATGAATTGTATTTTATTGTTTGGTTTGTTGAAGGAATAAACTTTAAGAATGTTATTCAAGAGTTTGGTTAGTTTGAAGAATAGAAAGGAAATATATTTTTAAATGACAGAAAATATCACAACAACAACTATATAGCCCCTCCCGATTTGAGAACTAAGAACTAATTAAGGGCCTTTGATCTCGGGTTCGTGCAGTGTATGGTCATGGTTTTTTTTTTTTTTTTTTTTTTTTTTTTTTTTTTTTTTTTTAAGATTTTTTTAGATTATTTATTTATATGTATTTATAGTGGGGGGAATTAGTAATTTTGTGTGCATTTAAAATCTTGATATATTATTATTATTATTATTGTTATTATTATTATTATTATTATTATTATTATTATTATTATTATTATTATTATTATTATTATTATTATTATTATTATTATTATTATTATTATTATTATTTGTGGATGTTATATTGTTATGCATGATTTTATGAGCTATGTTTTTTGTAGGATTATATTCATTTCATAGGATTGTATTTTTTGAAAGATTTTGTACTTCCAATTTCATATGTGTGCATTTCATATTTTATTAGTGTACACTCTAGTATAGATTCGTGTGCATCTGTGAATGTTTGCATCGGGGGGCTAAGGTATGCGGTATGTGTGAACTGCATTGTAGTGTTATGCGTTGAAAAAACTGCAATCCATGAAATATTTGTGGTTCTCAATTATCTTGGTGATTTAGTCTTAACCACAAGTTGGTATAAGTGGCCAAGATTTGTTTGGTGGTATGTGGTCATAATCATTTGACCTCTACTATTTAAATGAGATTTTCTAGTGTTCAGATACACAGAAAAACATTTCTTGATGTTTTCTTTGTCTTATTTCCTACTCTGAGAAGTTTTCTATGTCCCAATCCCTACTTCGGGTGCACGCAGACAGAGATTAGAGATTGTTGTGTTAACCTTCGGGGATGACGCCGTAGTTGTGAACTTGAACCGGTAGCGACAAATTCGCTTCAAACGGTAGTTGCAAACCTGAAGCGAGGGGACCAACATTGGGGTACGACGTAATGATCAAAGACCTTCCACGGACCAGCTGTAAGTGTTTTCATGCAGTCCTTCGATATGTCGAAGCGAGCGACGTACCAATTGTACCCCAAATCAATCAGTTCAAATCTTCCTTCCATATTCCATAATCTCGTAAGGCGATTAAGGAGGACATTGAACGTGATTTTCTTACCTAGGAACTTGAGAGTAATGGCGTTCTTCCATGGTTGCACCAATTTTTTTCTTAATTCTTTGGAGAATTTCACCACTGGGAGATCTAACGGGTTTTTCAGTGGTGGCTCCTCGATGTCTAACGCAGCCAGAAGGTCATTGTTGAACCGGTCGCAATCGTCGGACTCTTTCATGGTGTCGTCGGACTCTTTCATGGTGTCGTCGGAAAGCTAGGGAGTCGCGGCGACCATGTCAACAAACGAACATTTAGTGGTTCTGAACCTCTTGAAAACCCTCCCAGGGTCTCCGTCAGGGGGAGAGCCACCCTCCGGCGGCAGATCCGCCGGACTTTGGGGAAGGAAGGAACGAGAATTTTGGATCGCGCCAATCTTACCAAATAAGAAGAAAAACGGTCAGAAAGTTAGAGAGAAAAAATCTCATTCTCCGTTCTATGATATATTTGCACGCGTTTTGGGAAAGATATGATATGATAGGGTTGATGTATGCTTCCATTGTACCTTTATTTTCAACATTGTGTTTTCTCTTTCCACATATAGTAGCTGACTCCTTCAACTTTTTCATTCTTCTTGCAATTGTTAACTATTCACTTTGAAAAGTTTTTCCTTCAAAATGAATATACATTAGAGACATGTTTCTCTCTTAAATGCCATATATAGATATGACATTGTAGTTTGTTCTTAAGAATTCTGTTCAACAGTTCCAACCTTATATTATATGTAGGGATGGCAATTTCAATCCGACCCGTGGATATCCACCCGAATCCACCCCGCATGGATCGGGTTTTTTTTGGGTGATGGTGGGTGGTGGGTCGGGTATGGGTCTTAAAAAAGCAAACCCGCGGTGGGTCGGGTTGGATTCGGGTTCTATGTACAAGACCCGCCTAAAACCCCACCCGACCCACCATGTGTGTGTGTATATATATATATCTATATATCTATATATATAATAGTAAAATAAGTACTAGTATGTAGTTATTTATAAAAGTTTATATAACTTC